ATTTGAAAATAAAAGTTTAAAGCTTCTAAAGGAATGATTTAAGTGCTAAGAGTAAGAAAAAAATAAAAGAAAGTAGATAAAGTATAATGATTTATAGTGGTTCAGTCTCCTTGACCTACATTCACTACCTTGATCTCTAAATTAAGGATTTTCAAACCAATTCACTAAAATCAATAGAATTCTCAAGCTTCCACTAAGTTTTTATAATAGTTTTTCACAAGCTTAGCGACAACCTTTAACAATGATTTTTCACAGAATCAACCAAAACTCAAAACTAACTTTTCTAAGACTAAGTTAAAACCTATAACAATAACCAAACTAACCAAAGCTTGATCTACCCCTTAGAGCTCTGACACTCTAAGTAAATAAGAAATGAAGAAAAGATGAAGTACAAATGATCACTTAGCTGATCTAAGATGTACAAAGTTAAGCTTAAATACTTTTTTAAAGGGTAAGAATGAAATACAAGTGTAAAAAGAAAGTTTTTGGTCTTGTAAGCTTAAAATCACTTTGGATAACTTCTTTCTCTCATATTTTTATTGTTAGAGAGGTTTTAAATACTTGCAAAATTATTTTTATCCGTTGGAGAAAAAAATTAGCCGTTTTGGACTGTTATTTTAACTTTTTGTATTTAAATTCAAATTTCTGACAATAAGCTTTTAGTTAGTTAACCATATTTCTTAGTCGATTAAGTCTTCTTTGTCTCGCAATCAAATTCTCTAACGGTGAGCTTTTATTTGGCTAACTATATTTCTTAGTCGACTAAGTCTTCTCTGTTTTGCAATATGCTTTACTCTATTAATCGGTTAAGTAAGACTTTAATCGATTAAAAACTTATTATTTCTAGAGTAACATGCTTCACCAACTTTTCTTTGTTTGATTAATTCTTCTCTTTGCTTGGTAGCACTCATATTCCATTTCCTTTAAATAGCCATGAGATATGTTAGTCATCCGAGACTTCTTGAATTGTTCTTCACAAATTTGACTACCTTCATTTTGGATCGTCACTTTTAGATTTTAGCTAACTAACTCCTTTGGTTAACTGACTACTTTTGTTTGTATTCAAAACTCGCTTAACTAATTAAATTTGATGTAACCAGTTAAGACCTTTCTGTCTATCTTTAGTGTAGTACCTAAAATTGCTTTAATCGATTAAGGATTTGTGTTAATCGGTTAAGACTAATTTGTATTCATTAAAGCTCTTTCTTTTTTACTTGTTTAACCAATTATCCCATCTGACAACTGAATAAGCATCTTGACTTGCTTTTAAATACTAAATATATTAATGAATTTAAGCTTTCTCCTGCACACCTAAACAATATAATTAGACATCAAAGAATGAGAATATTTGCTATCATAAAAAACATATAGAATCAATATTCTCTATCTCTAATTTTTTATGATGACAAAACACTTCTAAATTAAGAGTGCAATGGTTATGTTTAATATGAATGCTTCAAATTTGTTTACGTAATGAGTTGCTCCCTTTTAATCAATGCATCTAGTGTTCTTTACATAATATTCAACAAAACCAAAACTAAGCATCACACACATAAATTAAAAATAAAGTCTATTAAATTTTATTTAATTTAGTCTTCTTTCTCTCTTTTTTCTTGTTCATCATTAAACAAGATATTCAAAACTCTCCCTTAACGAGGGCATCTAGATTTTTTTTTAATCTTTAAATCAGACTTTAATAAATAAGAATCATAAAGACTCATACACATTTAATGAATAAGAATCATGAGCACTCATACATTTGAGTCATACAAGCTTATAGATATAGTCCAATAACTTTAAGAGTCAAGCTTGTGTCTATATAGGAATAAATGTATGAGAGTTAAATCATTCAAGAAATTGTTAAGTATTACTCAAACAATGTTCAAGCAAATTTGATCATTTTGTCATAATCAAAACTATAATAATTTTAAAACTAACAAGCACTGTCACGTGACATTACCATGTCATCAGTTGATGCCATGTGGTATGTCACGTCATCAAAAGTACCATGTCAACACTGACGTCAACGATGATGTCATTCTTTAATGGTTAAATTAAATGTCATTAGAAGAAAGAATTAAATTGATCCAATTTTCAAAATTAAAAAATTAAATTATTTAGATTTTGAGTATAAGAATTAAATTGATCAAAATTAAAGAGTATAGAGACTGAATAAGTTTTTTAACCAATTAAATATAGCAACAAAAGCCTTTTATTTTACTTGAATCCAAAAATGATAATAATAACAAAAACGAATGGTTGGTTTTAAATAATGGCACATGGCCTAAAAATTAGGAAGTTTCCGGCGGCAGGAGGGAGGGTGAGCCAAAAAAGGGTGCCTAATCATCAATTCGGGTAAACGGATAATCGGATAATCGGATAATCGCCCAATCGGATCTCCTCGTGCACCGAATCTTTATCAAAAGGACCCTTTCTCAGTTCCCATCCCTATGATTCTCCATCGTATCTTTTCCTTTTGATTTCTTCATTTTCTCAGCTGACAGCATTTTCTTCCTTCCCTACAAATAAAACGCAAGAAATCATTGAAAAAAGTTTGAAAAATGATTGCAATTCCTTATTTAACTGCTTTAACCACGTACTTTAGCTATGGATTGCTGTTTGCTTTTGGTCAAATCAGAGATTTCTTTCGCAAATTCATCGATTGGTGCTGCACCTCCAATAATCTTCAGGTTTTCTCATTCTTTTTTTCCCCTTTTTTTTAGCTAAAAATCACCATTTTTTTAATACTGGCCTTCATTCAAATGAAGGGTTATGCTCCAATCTGCTTAGGACTCGAAGATTTCTATATCCGCCGATTGTATCTCCGTATTCAGGTAATTGTTTTTCTTTTTTTTTTTTACCAAAATTTGTTGTTAAATTTGACTTTTAGTTGAGTGATTTAAGTTCATTTAAGAATAATTAGCAGTATAATCTTGTGTTAATTACTGTTAATTGTTATGCCGGAAAAATGTTAGTTTTTTTTTCAAGTAGAAATGAATGATTAGAGCTAGATTTTAATGTTTGAACTGACAGGATTGTTTCGGGAGACCGATTGCTAGTGCCCCTGATGCTTGGTTTGATGTGGTTGAACGCTATTCCAAGGACAATAATAAGACCTTAAAGTAAGATTTATCATTCACAATTTGACGGTTTAAAAGTAGTAATGCTTTAGTTTCGCTGTGGACTTTGATGTGACTGATTTCTTTTCTTGTATAATGCAGACGAACTGCGAATATGAGTAGATGTCTTAACTTAGGATCATACAACTATCTTGGTTTTGCTGCAGCAGATGAATACTGCACACCTCGTGCAATTGAGTCGTTAAATAGATTTTCACCGAGTACCTGCAGTAGCCGGGTGGATGGTGGTGGGTTAATTTACTTGAATTCTTTTTTTGGTATAGGTGATAGTCTAGCTGGGCTTTTGCTGACCCGGTTTTGCTATCAGGTACAACCATACTGCATAATGAACTGGAGGAGTGTGTTGCTAGGTTTGTTGGCAAACCTGCTGCTATAGTTTTCGGTATGGGTTATGTGACAAATTCTGCTATACTTCCAGTACTAGTTGGGAAGGTTTGTATAGTTTACTGATGAGAGCACTTTCTAAAGCTTTGGTGCTTGTTCAAGTAATTTTTATTATGTATAGATCTTATTCACAGGGGAGCTTAATTATCAGTGACTCCTTGAACCACAACTCCATTGTCAATGGTGCACGAGGATCTGGAGCTACCATTCGTGTTTTCCAGCATAATAGTAAGTTTTGATGTTTTATTGCAAGAATAATTCATATCTCACATGATTGTTTGGTATCTGGGGTATTGGGTCTTTTGCAAGGAGTATTAGGTCTTATATGTGTTAGTGTCACATATTAATGTGGTGGATAATGGGTAAAGGAATAATGACCTTTTTGCTGAAAAAGGTTTCTTCTGGGATATGGTTCACTGACTCCTAATGTCTATAGCATGCTTTTGTTCTATTGTGTGCCCACATAGGGGCTTGTTGTTCAAATATTGTTTTCAGTTTGTGCATAAATTTCCCCCATGCTGTTTGTTTCTTTCAAATGTAAAAGATTTCATTTGAGAAATTGGATTAGAGGTTTTTCTACTCATGTTTCTTTCGCTGATTGGTTTACAGCACCCTCTCACTTGGAGGAAGTTTTAAGAGAACAAATTGCGGACGGACAACCTAGGACTCATAGACCATGGAAGAAGATTGTGGTTATAGTGGAGGGAATATACAGCATGGAAGGGGAGCTCTGTAAACTTCCTGAGATCATAGCAATTTGCAAAAAATATAAGGTTGGGCCTAGATAATAGCTTTCGTTTTCTCTTTTGATAAATTTGTTGAGCTGCATATTGCGATACTGGATTAAGTTTGATGGCTTTCTATCTAAGTATGCACTTTTTTTGGGAAATGTGCTCTCCTGTGGCTATGAGTTTAACAATATTCTCAGTATGATGTTTTCCTAAATTGGCTTTGTGTTAATCCAATGGATATTCTCTTATAACTTATATCAACGTTTTTTCCCAATTACCATGCACTGGAGATTGTTTTGTAGAATAACATTTTAGTGTTCCATTCTTCAGAAACTCTCATTGCTTTTCTTTTTCAGAGCAAAAAAAGCTCATTTTCTCTTATATTTTTCCTTTTAATCTTTCTCAAAATTCAAGCATTTCATTTCTTTCTTAATTTGTGAGCTTCTACTGAATCTTCTCTCTCTATATTTTGCAATAGGCATATACATACTTGGATGAGGCTCACAGCATTGGAGCAGTAGGGAAAACTGGAAGAGGTGTCTGTGAGCTCTTAGGAGTTGATCCGGCTGATGTGGATATTATGATGGGAACTTTTACAAAATCATTTGGATCATGTGGTGGCTATATTGCTGGATCCAAGGTTTGTTTCAAAGTTAAAACCATCCTCAGTTAGTATTCCTAATATGGTGACCACAATGGATTAGCATTAATCCTGGACCTTATATGCTTTATATTCTTATGATAATTCAGCTTAAGTATGTTCTATGAAATTTCTTCCGGGTTAAATTGTTATATTCAATCAACATGGTGTTAATATGATGGCAGGTATTAAGCAAGATAATATTCTCTTTATTGGTAATATATTTTCTCAAAATTGGACATTTTGGGGTGAGACTGGTATGTTTTGACTTTTTCTAATACAGTAATGTCTGTTGCAGAATGATGGAAAGAGAGATACATTAATGGATAAAGTCGTGTGTGCTAATGACACTGTTTTGGCACACAACTGTCTTTAGCAAGTTTCCCTTATGACTGCTCTGTTTACTCCATAAGTGCAATCTTTTCGCCTCTGTTAGTATTTGATATTAGTAGCATTCTTTTTTCTTCCATATCCATGTTGCACTTGAACCATATCATGGGTGTGAGATGAATTTTAGACCTTATTTTAAATTCGATATTAATTTTTGACTTTACCTCATTGCAGGAACTTATTCAATATTTAAAGTATACTTGTCCAGCTCATCTTTATGCAACTTCAATCTCACCACCTGCTGCTCAACAAATAATATCTTCCATAAAGGTTATTCTTGGGGAGGATGGTTCCAATAGAGGTTGGGATTGTAGTTTTTCTTTTGTTTTTGCCTTTTAACCTAAACATTTCGGCTTCTACACTCATCTCCTGCATCAGATTGATTGTATTATTCTCAATCTAGGTGCCCAGAAACTTGCGCAAATACGTGAGAACAGCAACTTTTTCCGGTCTGAATTGATAAAAATGGGTTTTGAGGTTCTTGGGGATAATGATTCCCCAGTTATGCCAATTATGCTTTACAACCCAGCCAAAATCCCTGCCTTCTCACGAGAGTGCCTCAAGCAGAATGTAAGTCCACCAATCTCGATGCTTCTAATTCTTTTTTCGTTAGCTTTTGGATGCCTGACTATAATCAGATGGCATTGTCACAGGTGGCTGTTGTGACAGTGGCTTTTCCTGCCACACCATTGCTGTTGGCAAGGGCACGTATATGTTTATCTGCTTCTCATACCAAGGAAGATCTGATTAAAGCCTTGGAGGTAAATTGTACTACAAACTCTACCTTCTGGCTTTCCTTAATGTTCTTATTAGTTTTAGTCCTGTCCTTTCCTGTCATTTGTGGGAGAGAGAAACAGAGAGACAGATGTATGTGTGCCTTGTCAATTGTATATATTTGCCTTGTCAATTGTTCAACTCGCTAATTGGTGCAAACAGCCAATTTTTTGTTCAGGATATAACTGTAGTGTGACTGAATCACTTTCTGCCCCTGGATTGGGCTCTCTTGGCAGGTTATCAGCCGGGTCGGGGATCTTGTGGGTATAAAATATTTCCCTGCAGAACCAGAGAAACAGCAGCAAGAAGAAAGGATGAAGTTGGAATGAGAAATAAGAAAGGTTGGAATGTACCTTAATCCAGCAACAAGAAGAGAGGATGGAGAAGGTGGAGTAAAAACTCCCAGCGTATTTTATTCCCTTGGTATGAATGATGGTTTCCTTTTGATCTAATTCTTAGAATTGCCGTAATAGGTAATTTACTGCAGTTTCTGTAGAAGGGTTTCATACCTTGCTCCAAGAGAGCCTGTCTGTTCATACATAGGGGAGTTAAGCAGTCCTCTTATCTTTTCTGAGACGGTGTTTCTTTTTTGTTTGATTTATTTATTTAAATTTTGTCTTATGTTTTGATAATCTGTAGATAAAGCAATTTGTATTTTGTAACCTGCCTTGATCTCCTCGGTTGTGATTGGGAAATAATAATACGTTGAAGTATCATGCTTGGCCTTTGGGCTTTGCCCTTGGGTATGTATATGAGCTTTCTCTTTCGTAGATTTTTCTCTGCCTGGCTCTTTTATTTCACACCTCTGCTTTGTAAATTGATGTGGGATTCTAACTTAATTTCTAAAGATTGAGATGAGGTTATCATTGATACTAGGACAATTGTTCCTTTCTATCATATGATTACTTAGTGGTTCATTTCGGCTATTTGCTTGTTCAATGTCATAATATCATGGTCAAATTATGCATTTAATCTTTATACTCTATCAAAGCTATAGGTTTAATCTATATACAATAATATGTAAAAAATAAGTTTTTATACTTTTTGAAATTGACATGGTAATTCAATCATTGACTGAATTAAGGTGACATTGAATATGATGACAATGATATAATCATTGCATCAATACAATCAAGTATCATATTAGTATAGATCATGAAAATGTTTTATCACCGTTGATGATTGGATTAACATTGTTAATTTCAAAAAGTATAAAGATTTAATTTTTATAAATTATTATAGAAGAATTAAATTGATTTTTTTAATAAAGTATAATGATTAATTGTATAATTTATCCTAACATCATCATTGCAAAGCCTTATAGTCTTCACCGATTTAGAAGACAATCCCAGAGATTCTTAAGATCGATATTTGAGCTGGAGTGATGGATAACTTAATAAAATTTTAGAAAATTTGGATGCTTTTGAAGACTAGATTAATTTCTCCATTTTTCTCTATATTTTCCCCCTCATGTTGCTGAATGTTTGTAGAGCTCCTAAGAGGACTAGCTATCTAAATCTAAATCTAAATCTAAATCTAATGATCGAATCTTATTTGCAAAGTAGCTGGATTCATGTAGCCTTGTAGCTAGTTGCTCTTATAATATGAATATATGTTCATGTGATAATAAAAAATTTAAAAATTTAAAAATTTAAAAATAATTTTTATTGTCATGTGAACATGATCATGTGGCACAAGTAATTGACATGAATGATAATAATAGTAATTCAATAACCTATATAATAACATTTACAAATATTAATAGTCAAAATGTTCTTTTTCAAAATTAGATGATCAATACTTGAATAATTAAGTGGTTTAAAACAAATATATAACTAAAAAAACCAAGCACATAAATGCGTAAATATGCATACACCCATTCATTCCTCTTGAACAAGCCATAGAGAGTTGTTAAATGAGATTTACAATAGTTATCATGGGCTCATAAGAGATTATTCATAAATATGTATATTAAAGATGTGCTTATTTAAAAGAATTATTTCAAGTTTGACTCATTGAAGTTTTGTTTGATTTTTTTTTATTTTTTTATAAAAATAAATAAAAAGAAAAAAGTTAAAAAAAATAAAAATTTGTTCATATAATACAACCTATACTTTCTTATATATTTCATAAAGAAATGAAAATTTGTGAGTATAAATAGAATTTAGTGATCATGTTGAGTATATTGATTAATTTCAGGGCATTTCACGGTCAACCCTGTTAATTTGTGCATCCATAACATAGAGAACAAGTGTCACGGACTATGCCTTTTTGTTTAAGTATACAATAGCTCGTGCAGCGCTTAAGTGGACGTTTTCACGCAAGTAGACTTGGTAATTTTGGACATGACACAAGAAAATATGAAGTTAAATAGGTTTGGGTTTAACCTTATTGTGCCTTGTGTCGACATGAATAACACATTTAAACATGTTTAATTAATCTCGTTATCATGTTAAACATGTATAAGTGATACGTTTATCAACCAGTTAAAGTTAGCAGTCTAATACTATTTTAGCCTTATTATTATTTTGTTATTATTATATTTACTAGTCTTATTATGTTAAATTTTATTATATTTGATGTTATTATTATTTTTTTATAATTATTTTTATAATTATTGATTTTAGATTTGAATAATAAAATTATATTTAATTGTAAATATCTTAAGTTAATCGTGTTAGGAAAAAATTATGTTAATCGTTTAATCATGTTTATTAATCGTGTCATGTCATGTTGTATAAAAAATTCTAACACGTTTAATAAATGTATTAGTCATGTTGTCTCATGTTACACGGTTAAATTAAACGTATCCGTATACGTGTTTCAGTGTTCGTGTTTACTCTCATAATTGTTAATACCCTATATTGACACAACACGGTTAAGACACGAAAATACTAATAGCTAGGTCTATATTATTGGAATAAACATAAAAGCCAATCACATAGATTGTATTGGATATTCTTGTTAATTAAAATATTATGACATTTTATTATGAAATAAGAGATATTTCTTTATTCGTAAGTTGCTTTGTAATTAGCTACTTTAACTTATAAAGATAAAGCCTTTGAAACAAATATGCCTTGCAAAGAAATTATAAGCAAGTTATAATTACGAAATCTTTATGCATTAAAGTATTGTTCCAAAATAATTCTTGGCCATTGTATTATCAAGAGAAGGTATTGATAATGCTAAAAGGCAAGCACATGTTATGCTTTTTACTTGTGAAGTAAGCAACTGATTTTATAGGTTGAAATATAGAGATACTTGGAGTTAATATGTGGGTGCTTGCATAGGATGTAGGTTCACTGAACATTTCTCCCCATGAGGAGTCCATTTGGTAACTCACACTAGTGTTTATGAAACACTTTTTATGTGTCAGTTGTGTAAACACTCCATAGATTTGAGACATTAAGCTGTTTTATATGTAGAATGCTATGCTTTGACTTCATCTCTCCGGTTCCTAACGAAAGATGCCTAAAAAGGATAAATGTTACGTGTAACATGAAGCATATGAAGACAAATAAATGGTCAAGAGAAGAATCATCACTCCAAGTGATTTAGGGGACATATCTTACTTATTTTTTGTTCACGCTAACCATATGAAGTCTTTGGCTACAAAGACTTGCAGATTAGAAAATGAGTTTTCTAAGTCTCAGTAGAACTAGTGGTGAAGCCTAAAAGAACTAACATAAAGGATATGAGATATAGCTAGTGGTGAAGCCTAAAAGAACTAACATAAAAGGATATAAGAGTAGATATTGTACCATGCTTTTATTCCTTTTAGGATATATGATGAGAGAATGAATTACATTGATAGAATAGACACTAAAAGGTTATTAAAGAATCTTTTGACTCTTCTAATAATTGGGTGACCATGATGAAATGGTAGATCTCACTCATGGTCTATGATCATAAAGTGGTTAATATGATCAATGATAAATTCAAAGTAGTTTGAATTTATCTAATCCGAAATTTAATTTATGAATTACATTTTAAGGTCAGTGTTAACATGTTAGGAACCTAATAGGTCACACACAATAAGTTACAATAAGGATTAAATTGAGAGTGTAATGATTTAAGTTGGACTAAATCATACATTAGGTTTTAACCTTCAAAGACTTAATTAAAATTTATTTAATTAAGTATAAGGTCAATATTATAAATAGCTATAATAATGAGGCCTTTAATAAAAACCAAAGCTGTTTTTTAACTTAGGTATAAAACTCACTTTTTATCCATTTTTCACAAGTTGTTGAAAAGACATAAACCTAACTACTTTAGCCACCCTTTTGTGAGAGAATTCTTAGAGAAGAGATTCTCTTATGGCATTAGACAAAAAGTGAGTAAGAAGTGAAAAGGATAATCGGTTGTCGACATTGCTGGCACGTTAACATGGCTGAGAAACTCCTTATTTGAAAAAGGTTTCATTCCAACCGTGTGTGCAACTATTGAAGGTCAAGTAATTGAGTGGCTCAGGTTCTCCTCTTTTGTTGTGGTGTATCGTAGGTTCAAAAGGGGAAAAAGGGGTGCCATCGTGATTATTGAATCACTTGGCTAGATAATATTATTTTTAGAATATTACTTTTGTTTGATTTTGTTAAAACACCAAGGAGATCCATGGGTTACAACATAAGAAAATTCTATTTTGTTTCGTTTTACTTCTATCAATTTATTTCACTGCATATGTGTGATTCGATCACACTCTCATGTCATTTTTCTTACAGTGGTATCAGAGCCATCCTTGACTTGTTTTAACATGATTACATGTCATGTTGATTAGTGATTCAATTTAGAATTGATGTATGATGATTGGATGTTAAAGTTGTTCACAAAAATTTTAGTTTGATTTTAATTTCGAGAAATTCTGTTTGGGACAACAAGTTTATCAATTGTTTTACCTCTTTTAAATGTGATTAAATATTGTTTATAAATGTCCTTTTTGCAACAATAGAAGTTCATATGATGCACATAAACTTGATGCAAAATTAAGGTTGTTTTAAAAACACATAGGTAGCACACAATACAAGCTGAATCGGTTCTACTTTGAACATGTTGGTGTGATTTTCTAGTAGTATAAAATGTAAAAAATTATTTTGCATTCTAAAAGACACATAAGAAAAGAAAAATTGGTCATGGAAAGGATCCATGTTCAACTGTTGCACACAGCTAGACCTTGGCCTGAAGGCCATGAGCAATGGGTCATTTCTAACCATTAATAATATTTATATATTAAAAAAATTATGAGAAATGACCTTAGTAATAAAATCATTTCAAAAATAACCTTTATTATAATTTTAACTTTTTTTAGACAATTTTCGACAAGACTTCATAAGAATACTCTTTAAACTATTTAATCTAAATTAAATGGTCTCAGTTTCTTTCTTCTCTCTCGCCATTCAGATAAAAATTTTAAAATTAAATCTCAATTTAGTTATCCTTCCATCTAGCTCTCCAGCGCCATCGGGGTATATATTTCACCGTCTAGCTCTCCAACGCCATCAAGGTCAATATCACCATCTAACTTTCTTACGATCCCAAAGTGAAGAGATGACATCAAAATATTTGTTATGGGTTCTTGGGTTTATTTTTTTATATTCATTGAATGCAAAAGTTGATGGGTAAATTAATGATCTTGGAAACTTAAATTTGGCTGGAAGTAGCGAAATCAATCAGTTTATAAGTGAGGCATGAATATTTGTTAAGCATTGCATCACTAGATATTAAGGTGTGTAACTAGATATTAGGAATCGTAACTTGTTTATTTGGTATTAT